GTTTACTAGTGTTTACCAAACATGGGAGGGAAGGGAAAAGGAGCAGTTACTATTTATGAAGTATTTTCATTTATGGTGAATGAAAAACTGCACAGCTTATTAGTCTAAGTGTTGTCTTTCTTTAAAAAATAAAATGGTGCAGCCATTAAAACCTTGCAAATGGTCATCAAAGACAGAATTGGTTTGTATTTATCTGCAGCAACAAAGGAATGAGAGTTTGGAATAGCTCTTTTAAGAAGTATCTGTATAGGATTGCAGGGGCAACAGAAACTTGAAAGATTTTATAGGAATTATAAGGATAACCAGTTTATTTTAATGGAGAGGAAAACTGACAATGGGTGAGAATGCTTGTACAACTTAACATTGTAATCATTGTCACTTTGTGTATACATATGTAATTTGTTGAATTATATAAATTCTACAAAATATGAGCAAGAGGCAATGGTGATAAAAGAAAAAGGTCAAGCTGCTCTGAAAGAATTGGCAAAAAAACAAGTCCCCATGAATTGATGGAATACCAATTGACATGTTTCAACAAACAGACGCTGCCCTTGGCAGGCTCACCAGGTTGTGTGTGCCAAAAAATCTCAAGGACAGCTAGTTGGCCAACTGACTAGAAGAGACCGTATTTATACTCATTCGAAAAAAAAGGTGATCTAACAGAAAATAAGAGATATCAAATCATTTTACTAATGTCACATGCAAGCAAATTCCTACTGAAGATTATCCAAAAATGACTAGAACAGTACATTGACAGAGTACTACCAGATGTGCAAGCTGAGTTTAGAAGAGGCCATGGCACTAGGGACATTAAAAACAGTGTTAGATGCATTTTAGCTAAAAGCAGAGAGTACCAGAGAAATTCCTATCTGTTTCATTGACTATGCAATGGCGTTTGACTGTGTCAGTCACAACAAATTGTGGTTAACTTTGAGAAGAATGTGAATCCCAGAACACTTGATTGTGCTGATGCAAAACCCGTACTTGGACCAGGAAGCAGCCGTCAGAAAGATCAAGGAAACGCTGCATGATTCAAAATTAGGAAAAGAGTGCAACAAAAAAATGTGCCCTTTCTCACACCTTTTCAATCTGTATACAGACCAGGTCATTCAGGAGGCTAGTCTTTATGAGGAGAAATGTGGCATCAGGATTGGAGGAAAATTCATCAACAACCTGCTTTAGGCAGATGACATAACCTTGCTCATCAAAACTGAAGAGCATTTGCTGCACAACGTCAAGGACTGTAGTCTTCAATATGAATTGAAGGTTTTCATCAAAAAAACAAAGATTCTCTGCCACATGGGACTCACCCCCTTATGAGGAAATACCCCTGATGAGCTTCAAGGAATTCAACCAGGCCATAGAGCAGCACAATGGCAAGACCATTTTCGCCTATTTTACGGGTTCTAAGGACTGATGCTCAACGTCAAGAAAACAAAGATTCTAGCCACTGGGCCAATTGGCAGCATCAGCATGGATGGTGAAAAGATTGAGATAGTTAACAGTTTTACTTTACTTGGCTCCACTGTCAACACTCTTGGTAACAGCAGCCAGGAAATCAGGAGACGAATTGCATTGGGAAGTCGGCTGTGAGGGACCTCTCAGGAGTGCTGAAGAACAACGATGTCAGGCTGGAGACTAAGGTGTGCCTGATCCGGGCTGTAGTCTTTGCAATTACATGCTATGCATCAGAGAGTTGGACAGTGAATAGGGTTGATAGAAAGAGGATTGATGCCTTTGAGCTGTGGTGCTGGAGACGAGTGTTGAATATATCATGGACTGCTAGGAGAACAAAAAGGTTTGTCCTGGAGAGGGTGAAGCCAGAGCGTTCCCTGGAGTCAAGGATTCAGAAGCTTCGTCTGACATACTTTGGGCATGTTGCAAGGAGGGACTGGTCCTTGGAGAGGGACATCATGTTTGGCAGAGTGGAGGGGCGGCGAAGGAGAGGAAGACCTCTGAGGAGATGGATCGATTCTGTGACTGGAGCGGTGGGAATAAGTGCGTTTGAGATGGCTAGGTTGGCACAGGATAGAACAGCATTTAGAGCTTTTGTACATGGGGTCGCTCTGAGTCTCAAGCGACTCGATAGTACATAACAACAACAAGGACGCCTGAAGGGAAAAGCTGGTGCCCTGACTGTGTGCAAGCTCAACCAGTGGTTTGAGAGGGCCTGAAACATATTAACAAAGGATGTGTTTTCATCTACTGCCAAGTAAGAGAAAAACCTTACTGGAAAGATCCCAACAATGACTTCAGAAAAAAGCTGAAAGTAACCACAGTGCCTACACTACTTAAATACGGAACACCTCAAAACTGGTGGAATCTGAGTTTCTTCAGGCCAGCCTTGTGAAGGTGATATTCTCTGAAGATTAAGATTTAATAATGACAATGGTATCTTAATCTTGCTCTAGAAACTGTGTACTTATTAAATAAACAATGATGGTATAAAAGAAAACAAAGATTCTCACCACTGGGCCAATTGGCAGCACCATCGTAGATGTAGAAGAGGTGACACTGTTAACAATTACAGCTTGCTCAGTTCCATAATCAACACTCTTGGCACCAGCAGTCAGAAAATTAAAAGATGCATTGCAGTGTGAAAATCTGCTGTCAGGGACCTCTCCAGGGTGCTAAAAAACACCAGTATCAGTCTAGAGACTAAGTTGTGCCTAATCCAGGCCATGGTCTTCACAATTACTTGCTATGCATTAGAGAGCTGGACAATGACTAAGAAGAAAAATTGATGACTTTGAGTTGTGGTGCTGGAAAAAGAGCATTGAACATACCGTGTACTGCCAAGAGAATAAGCAGGTCTGTCCTGGAGAACATTAAAAACAAGTTCCTCCTTGGAGACAAGGATTTTGAATCTCTGTCTCACATACTTTGGGCATGTGGCCAGGAGAGACCAGACCTTGGAGAAGGACATTATGCTTGGAAGGATAAAGGAACAGTGCAGGACAGGTAGAGACCCTGGATGAGACACATTGACCCAGTAACTGATAATGAGGGTAGGTGTGTCTGAGGCAATGAGACTGGCTCTGGATAGGGTACGGTTCAGATATATTGTGCATAGGGTTGCTATGAGTTGCAGACAACTCAGTGGCACATAAAAACAATTGTGTATATTCTCAGCAACAGCAAAATAAAATATTTTTTAGAAATATTGTGTATATGTGTATTCTCTGTGTGTATCTTTATAAAGATCACAAGCCCAGTTCCAGTTCCACCATCAGCAGAACAAAGTTCCCTCTTCACTTATGCTATGTACCTGAGTCTAATAATAACCATTTATATTTTTAAAGGGAGCTCTAGTAGCTTACTGGTAAGAAGTTGCACTGCCATCTCAAAGGACTGCAGTTGGAGTCTACCAGCTGCTTCATGGGAAATGGAAAATATTCTCCTGCCCAATTTATTGCTTCTAAAACTCGCCAGTGTGCCAGCTTGAGGTAGTTCCAACTTGACAGTACACAACAACAGCAAATATATTTGGGAGCCCTGGTGGCTTGGTGCTAAGGATTTGTACTGTCAATCTAAAGGCACGTCATTTGGATCCAACACCTGCTCCATAGAGAAAAATGAGCACTGTCCTCTCATGTAATTTACTGCCTCTGAAAACCCTCTGGAGGTTCAGCAAGGAGTCTTTTCCAACTCAGTAGTACATAACAGCAGTATATATTAGGAAAAACTCTAGAAACAAAGCCAATATTTATTATTTTCTTATTTTCATTACTGCAGATTTTAACAAATTTGGAGCAAGGCTTAGCTGAAGATGGGAGCATGAGTAACATTACCCAAGAGAACAGACAAGGTAGGTGGATAAAACCCTTTTATAACTAAGTAACAGTCAAAAGTTATCCGGATATATAGCCCTCCAGAGTTTTTGTTTACATTTTTCATTCTCTTTCATCATCCTTATTAATTTCTTTTTCTAGTAAACCAAGCATTGTGCTCACATGAAGCCCAACTTCTGGCTAATCAAACAAATGTACAAACAAACATGCAATTATAGGCTAAGTGCTTTGTGATTGTAAGAAAACATAGGAAACCATTTCCTCAGTCTAGTCAGAGTAGCCTGGGAAGCCTTCCCCTGTGTGTTACTTTACCTGAAATTTCAAAGACAAATAGGAGTTTACTTGGAGAGTTTGCAGGGCTGAGGGTAAGAATATTCACCCTTTTGGCTAAGGAGGGAGCATTGATACACTGAAAGTCAACTAGGAGAGTGTTACAAATTGAGGCTGAGAAGAAAAACAGTCCATTTCGTGCCGTCTTTATGAACCATGCTAAGAATATTGGGTTTTCTCTTAAAAGCAGATGTCAAGCCTATTCACTGATGTTTGACCCTAGCTGAGAGTTTGTCTTTTCCACTCCAGATATACTAAGAACCTGCATTTTAACAACATCCCCAGGTGATTTGTGTAGGTCTCCAGAATTTATATACTCTATCACATGTCTTTATATAAATGAGAATCACATTGGGATCTTGTGGAAAGATACCTGGAATCTTTTGTAGGTCTTATACATATTTTTAATAATGGTAATTCTGCAGAGGCCTTATACTACCTATCAAAATTTACGTTAAAACTCCTGCCACTACTAATAATAAAATTTGATAAAAAATTTACCTTAAAATTGTGTTTTTTCTTGGCATGCTTAAGAACATAGAGTAATCCTATAATTAAGAACTCAATTTGCCTTTCCGCAATTAAAAATACATTAGCTGCTTATATTCTCATTGTAACATCATTTTTAAGAAGAAATCCTGAATAGTATCCTTTTTAGTGAACATGAAACACATATTGTCTCCACAAATTGCAAATTTACTTTTATTATTTCTGAAGATAGTTTTAGTTTTAATTCTTCCCCAGTTCTGTTATTCTGCTTATCTGTGTGACTCTTAGATTTCCAAGGACTATCTTCTGATAACTAATATCTACCCACCAATTTGCAACAAAACAAGAACCACACTGGGAATAAAATGACATGGCTATCATGTTGGAAAATAGCTGTGACATCCAAAGATTAATGGTCATTCTTCTCCATCAGAAGGAGCCTTAGTGACACATTATAGAATTTCACTGTTGGCCAAAAGGTTAAACCCTCCACCTATTCCTCGGAAGAAAGATTTATAGCCTTGGAAACCCTGGGTTCTTACAGAGTGAGCTTTCTGAGTACATTTGGGGGTTGTAGTTGTTGCCATGTGCCATCGAGTGGGACCTGACTCTGACTAGCTGACCCTCCAGCAGATTTCCAGAGGCAGTAAATTGCGTGGGAGGAGATTGCCCATCCTTCTCACACTGAGCAGCTGATAGATTTGTACCATGTGCCTTTGGAATTCCAGCACAGCGTTTTACCATTAGGCCACCAGAGCTCCCTAACAGGAACCCCAGGTGACTTTATAGATCTAAATCCCTTGGTGATTTTTAGGTAGCTAATAAACACTTTACATATAAGATCCTCATGTATAGATTTCAAAACAGAAAGTCTGTTTTAGGATTTTACTTGAGAATGTATATTGATAAGAATCACAAAATAGACTATTTTTATTTCTATAAATATGTATAGATAAGAATCACCAGAGGGTCTTGTTAAGTTGTTGGTTCTGATTCATCTTCTGGGTGGACATGCAAATTATCATCCAGGCCTTGAACTAGAAGAGTGGGTTCAAAGCCCTGAAAATAGTGTGGACTTGAAGGTGGCCTGCTGGGTAGGGGCCACAGTGCTAACCCGTAGGTGTAGTCTCTGGCAGTTCAAATCTACCAGCTGCTCTGAGGAATAAAGAGGAGCATTCTCCTCCCATGTGTTTTATAGCCTCTGAAAACCCACTGGAGGAAGGAAGCCGTTAACTTGTGGCAGCAGATGGTCAAGGAAGACAGCGCCCCTATAACACTAACTACCAATTGCTGTCAAGCCAGTTTTAACTAATGGCAACCCCATGTAGGCAAGTTTGAAAATGTCCCTAAGTAACATGTATATTTACAGCATACCACTGCTATAATGCTATATATACACACACATACACATATAGAGTATATATAGATTATATAGAGAGTATATATGCTATATACCATATGCAAAGCCTGTTTTATTTTGTATTAATATCATCACCTTCATCATTATCATCCTATCTTTATACCTGTTGCCATGGCTAATCCTCACTAAAACCTATAAACAGATGGGAGAGTAATTATTGATGCTTCCATTTAAAAGATTGTGAAAGTGAGGCCTCCAAAAGATAAGTAACTTGCTGGTAACAAACGCAGAGCAAAACCCTAGAAGTTTTGACTCCCAGATAATAGAGCTCCTTGTATGAAACACCTCCAACCAGCAAGCTCTGCCTACAGGGAAAGACAGTGCCGTGGAACATATTTGCATCTCCCAATGCAGCCCAATGCCCATCCGAGGCAGCTCACCTCATAGGGGTTCAGCTTGGAGAATTTCTCTCCGCTCGCCCTGGTCAGTCTGCTTTCCCAGCCGATTAACTTTTATAGTATTAAGTTACATTACTGCAAGCAGAGGGTCGTCATCATTTACATTGGATTTGCTTTCTTTTCTTTGAGTCCTAAATTTAGAAATGTGGATCTTCGTTGGATTATTTAATCTTTTGTCTGAAGTGAATGCTTGAGGAGTTGCCCTACTGGTTTTTGTAGTTGCATCATTTATGCAGACATTCTATTCCTAGAACCAATTGCAGGCTAGTCCCTATGAGAGGGGCTGTATTTTCTGTCTCACAGTGCAGCTCTGCAGCACATTAAAAATTCTAGGCTAAAACCCAGTGGTGTTAACAAGAGGGATCTTTTAAATCAGAATTCACAGGACCCAATAATTGATAGCTAGAAAGAACCTCTAATTTATTTGTGCACATTCACAAGCTGCTCTTATTTTGCAGCCTCTATTCAGCTGTGGAGGTCACGTCTGGGCCGGGTGATGTACTCTATGGCAAACTGTCTGCTAATGATGAAGGTACGTGGGTGGCAATAACTGCAGAGCTACCATATATTCTCGAATAGGATGTCAGAAGGAAAACTGCAAGGGAATTGCTTGTACATTCTGATAAGAAAAAAGCTTCCATAGTAAATGGAGTGGTTTACCTAAGAAGAGAATGCATTTCAGTAATGGTTTACTTAATAGATAGTTCAGTAAGACACTTGGGGCTAAATTTCCTCTTAATTTATTCTGAGATTTATCAGAATGCAGAATTTACATTTTCAAATTTAATTGTTCAAACATGGATCTAAATGATTTAATTAAATTCATTATTCATTCTCAGTCTCCCTCTCTCTTCTCTGTGTGTGTGTGTGTGTGTGTGTGTGTGATTTGTCTCTGAATTCTATCCTAGGAAGGTCTCCTTTTGTTCTGTCTTAGAGACTTTTTTTCCCTTGCTTGATGTTTTGATTGATGCTTATGACATCTAAAGACAGGCTTCCCCACAAGACCTAATTCTGAGGACTTCACCCCAGCTTTCAGCCTCCTAAGGAAGCAGCTTAGAAATAAAAGAGGCTGAGCTGAGCTTGTCAGTCATTTGTTTTTACCAGTCTATTCTCTTCCTCTAAGCCAACCCTCCCCAGTTTATGCAACCATGTTTTTGGCTTTGTTTGAAAGCTGCAGCAACCCACGCCTGTGCTCACCTCCAGCCCTCGGAATCAGTATGTCCTGATGCTAAGCGGGTGGCCCAGCCTGCCAGCTGTAGGGACTGAAAGCTTAATGCTGCTGGAGGAATCAATTAGCAGCTGACGCCCCAGAGCAGCACTATTAACACCTTCTGGGCTATTATAAGACTGAAATCAGAACTCCTCCCACACTCCCAGTTTTCAGGCTGCCCAAGGTCATTCTGAGCTTGATTTTCAGTAGGACAGAGCAGACAATTTACCAAATGCAGAGATACGCTCAGAGGGTTCCATTTTTTAACCCCGACATGGCAGCCTCAGTCATTTTCTAGATTGACCCCCTCCCTCAGCAGCCTTCTAAGATGATCATGTCCTTAGGCACGCCTGGGAGAGGAGTTAGGTATAGATATAAATTCATAGCTATAAACAGCTCATCCATTCCATCAAGAAAGAACAATTCCCTAAGAAGATATGTGGCTTGCATCCAGGCTTTAGAGCAGGCGGGCTGTGAGTGCACAGAATTCCCATCCTTGTGCTCCCTGGTTTCTCTGCATCCTTCTGTATTTGCCTAATACTGGAAACATGGGCAGAAATTTTCAGACAAGCATGCTCATTTTCTGTAGTAAGTGACCTTGAAGCAGCTTTTTCACATCTGTGAGCTTCAGACTCCGCCTTTAAAATGAGGAAAGAGAACTCCCTCCCCGCTTTTCTGTGTAGCACTCCTCTCTTTCAGCACCCTAAAGGGCTTTTAAGACATTTTGGGTTCTTTCTCAGAACATTTCTATTGTCACTGTGTTTTTCCATCAGTCTCCACATGTGTAAGATAATTTCTGGTAAGGTTAGTTGCCTACATGGTGTTTTTCTTTCTCATCCTTTTCTTTCTTTACATCCCCTTCCGCTTCCTCTCCGTCCTTCCCCAGCATTCCCCAGCATTCGTTTGATTTCTTCAGCAGGTCTTGGCCAGCTCTAATAAAAGTAGCAAGCCCAGCACCCTTCAGCCGTCCTGTAGGCACACTGTTTGCTCAGGTGGCTGTTGCTTCCTCAACAATTTAGCCTTTGGCAATAAACGCCTAACTAATTATACCATGATGGTCTTGCTCTCTTCTGCCCATTCAGAAGCAGTTCATGTTCCCTAAGCATCCATATTTTAGCCGACTTTGAAATATCCCACTCAGCAATCTGAACATTCTACGGTAGAACCCATCACCCCTAAAAGCCATTTTCAGTGATCCTGAAATTCAGCCAGCTTTCAGAACATTATTTTGAAAAAAGAAAAACTGAAGAACAAATTATAAATTCTCCATTCTGTCGTGTCATTAAATCATAGAGCTACGAATCCTCAGATTCAGGTTACCTATTTCACTGATGGACTCTTTTTTGCCATTTTAAGATGCATTAATAGAAAAAAAATAATAATCCTTTTCTCTGTCTTACTCAAATAGTAACACATCAAAAGTCTTCAACCTATATTATTGGCACTCGCTACAAAACTATGTTCAAAAAATACTTGTACAATGAATACAATTTCATTTGAAAGTTTACATGAATCTCATTTCAATGGGTAAAAAAAGGAGTGGAAAAAAAATCATAATTAAACCAACCCAAGCACATGCAGTCTGTTGCCATCTAGTGAAGGTACACAATATTGCAACATCATGTCCTACTGTACATGTAATTTAATTACATTATCTGTATGGGCTAACAGTGAACTAATGTGCCATTTTATTATTCCAAAAGCATTCTTATTACAGTGAAATGAGTATTCATTTAACTTTTTAATGATGTTGTTGTTAATGTCATCGAGTTGAGTACGACTCATAGTGTCCCTCTGAACAAAAGATCTGAACCCTGTTCTATCCTGCGCCATCCTCACACTTCCTGACACATAAGAGCCCATTGCAGCAGTCACCGTATCATTCCACCTGGTTGAATCTTCCCCTCCTTTGCCAACCCTCAATTTATATGCTTCAGCCTCAAATATCTGCGTTACAAACTATATAAACACAGTTGCACGCATCTGAAACCCTTGAAAAGTTTGACCAGTCTCATGCTTAGAGTGTTATTTTAATATCCTTAGATTTCACAGTTGCATTGAGGCGCTGACACTAAGCAAGCCGTATGCGTGCACTCGCGTTCTTCACGTGTGCCTCAGCCTGCCCTGTGCTGTGCTCCGCCGGAAGTGCGCCTCCCTCAGCTTGTCCTTGATTCTTCGCAAAGTGCATAGCGCCACCATTTTGACTTTTCATGCAATTTAAAGGCGAGTGCAACTGCATAAATCACCTTCTTTCTTGTTTAAATTACACTACACTACATTCTTGCTTAAATTATACTCTCTGGTTGCAAAATGATTGTTAAATCTCGTTTCACAGCCACTAAACAAGAGTAGCTGCTGAAAGGAAAAAGAGTGAAGATTGAACTCACATAGGTTTGTCCCTTTAAGCAAGTCATTCATATCTTTTTTTTTTCAGAGCCAAACCTGTATGATCTGTAAATTACGCTCTCTCTGTAGAGCTAGTTTTTATACATTTTCCCTTCAAGTGGCCATATTTCCTCAACTTTCAATAAATAAACTATTTTATTAAATAGTAATCAACTTAAGGAGGCTCCCTAACACAATCATGCTCTGGTTTATTAAATGATAGGCCCCTTGAAATGTGCCAAAATGCATTCCACCTGGTTAGAGCTGAGCTGCCTGGGCAGACTTCCTGTTCCAGCCTGAGGGACCAGCCATCCGTAACTGTCCAGACTAGTAGGAGTGCTTCACCAGGCAGGGGTGGCATTCCCCTCCATCCTTGTTGGAGGACGTTCATCCCTGTGTTCCTATTCCTTTCTGTCATCTGATCTGCTTTGTCTAGAGTTCACCTTTCCACATGGCTCCTAAGTGTTGGATCCTGGGAGTGCAGCATTTTCATCAACAGTAAAATAACTTCTTCCATTAGGATAATTGCTTGGTTTTTTGAAAACCTGCCCTTTCCGGCATCAAATTATCTTGAGAAGCAGCCATTCCTGACCTAGAGAACTGAAAGAAAAAGTTGTTAAAGTAATGGCACAGGTTTCTAGGCCCTGATTGCACCTGCTAGAAGGGATTGCTGGAGTTACAGCTACAGCAACACCTGCTAAAAGCAGGCACTTCACCTTACAGCCCCCACACCCCCTCACTGTCTCAAATAGTGAACCATCTTAGCAGAGAGTGTAATTACAGTGACTAGAAGCACAAGGCAGAGATTTGTGCACGTACACTGGGCATGACCCAGTGACAGTAAAGCACTAATTTTTTTTAAGTCATAATTTGACTTAGTTTAGATATAAACTCTAAATAAGGGACATGTGTTAAATTTTAAGAAATGGGCACCATTGCAGTGGATGCTGTCTGATGCTCTTTTGGCCAGCCAGCCCTCCCCCCAGGGAAATCTCAGCACTACTACGGCAGCTTGTCTCTCCTTCCCTGCCTTACAAGTTACCTATTTTTCAGAGCAGCCAGGACAGAGGTTGCCCACATGGTAGCCAGTGACATGATGCCCTCAAGATAAAGACAGTGTCTCTTCGGCACCAAACCTTTCCAGGGCAGAACCACACTCTTGAGTGCAGGTCCTGAAGCTGCAATAAAGATGCCACAGTCATCTTCAGCTGTACCTTAAGTATTCCAAGGGTTTGGGTATTGACCAAAAAACAGTATTACTAGCTCGAGTAAGGCCTCTCACAGTAGGCATGCACTCACAAGCGTGCACAAAATCAGACATGGGATAGCCCTGCCCAAGTCAGCACTGACAGATCGAAAAGGAGTAGAAAAAGAAGACTAAGGTATGTGCCGTCTGGCTCCTTGTGAGCAGTGCGCCTTGAATAAAATTAGTTTTAATGAGCTGCACTTGAGTGTACTAGACTGGAGAGAGTCTTTTAATTTTTTTTTTCCTTTCTGCCAAACTGAAATTTTACTCGTTGTCTCTTTCTTTTTAACATCCCAATTAGCACCCTGGTAACTACAAGTTCCAGTTTGGATAAAATTGAAAATGTAGAAAAGAAAGATCTGTGCTAAGACTTTTATATGAGTAAATTAGGAGGAAAACCATCATTGTCCATATTGCTGACCATGGAATAGAACTAAATATGATACTACACAATTTAGTGTAGTATCTGATACATATAACTTGATAAATATTATTATCATTCTTTAAAAAAACAACACAAACACTGAATGTGTTAGCAAGCTTCAGATGGGACTGACAGTTGTGGCCCATGTGTCATTAGCATGACACTCTCCTTCTGAGTCTTAATTTTCTTATACAGTAAATTCCCAGGTTACAGATATTTGAACGTCTAATTTATAAACAACTCGCACTTGTTCTTCAATTATGTAAATTTGTCCTCACTTTGAAACAAACCATCCTCTACTCCAGTAAATTCTACATCACATTTACTACATCACTGGCTACACGTGCAGCTTTTCAATTCTTGCAAAAACTTCAAGCCTTTTTTTTGTGTGTGTGTGTGACTTGCTTTATTGCAATATTAGCTTTTTGTGTAGTTGTTCGGAGATGATCCTGCAGAATCCCCAAGGTACGCTTGCACTTTATTATATGGTGGACCCATCTACCTTCTCCCGGGTCTTCAGCTGCAGAACGTCAAGCCTTTTGTTGCATTAAAAAAAAAACACCAAACCAATTGTCATCAAGTCAATTCTGACTGACACATAATGACCCTGTGGCAGACTAAGAACTGTCTCACAGGCTTTCCAAGGCTGTATACTCATTATGAAAACACAACAGCTAGTAGTTTTGAAACACTGACATTTTGGTTAGCAGCTAAGCATAAATCACGGAGTCACCAGGGCTCCTTTTTTGTGCTGAAGACCAAGCAAGAACTGTATGGACTTGTTCCATTTTACCTACAAATTTACTTTAAAGACACACATAGGAACGGATCTAATTAGTAACCCAGGTGCTGCTTGTGCATAAAAAAAAGTGAATGATGTCGAGCTTTCTTACTTTGGGATCAGTAGGGCTTTCCTTCACCATCAGCCAGATATCTAGTATGGGTTCTGTGGGTGAGGGAGGCGAACAAATGCTAAGATGAATCCAGCACAATCCTTGCCCTGGAGGCATGGATACAGAAACCAGTTGTTGGAGTGTAGAGAGTGCTACTTTATGAGAATCAAATAAGATCTGTAGATAAAAGTGTTTTGCAAAGAATACAAATGCCAGGTACAATAGCTGGTAGCTCTCTTTTATATGTTCCTATGTAAATAGTTCTAAAACATCAAGAATTTCTTAAATACTTTAGAGGAAGAATATTCAAGTAGGTTAGCATGATCTAGAATTTTATGTTGACTCCCTCAGCTAAATAGTTCTGTTGGAGTAGGGGAGAGTTCATTTGTTTACATTTAAGGATTTTATCTCAATTGCTGGCATAGGATATTTTTAATTAAGGGGCACTATTAATATGCATCTGAGAAATGAACAATGGGATGACAGAAAACAAATTGATGCCTTTGAGCTGTAGTGTTGGTGAAGAGCACTGAATATCCCATGTACAGTCAAAAGAACAAATAGGTATGTCTGGGAGAAAGTGCAGTCTGAGTGCTCTTTGGAAGTGAAGATGGCGAAGCTTTGTCTCTCATCCTTCGGGCATGTTGCTTTTCCTTGGAAAGATGCTTGGAAAGGTGGGAATGTCAGTGAAAGAGAAGAAGAACCCTCTACCAGGTGAATTGACATGGTGACTATAGCAGTGGGCTCAAGTGTGTCAGAGATTGTGAGGATGGCACAGGACAGGAAAGGGTTCAGATCTGTTGTTCTTAGGGTTGCTATAGGTTGTACTCAAGCTTGACAGCAGCTAACAACAAACAACAACATCAGTACATTTAGCATATGAATTTCGGGGCAAAATCTCACTCATTCACTTGATTTTGTCAGGAAAGAAGGAGATCCACAACTCATTTGAAATATTAATACTAGCTTAGAAGATGGAAGCAGACAGACACACATTTGTAAGTAAAGGACTAGAAGTGACCCAGCTAGTCTCTCAGTGAGAAGACTAATTTTACTTACATTACAAACAAGGAGCCCTAGTTACAGTGGTTAAGAATTCATCTACTAATAGGTTGGTGGTTCAAACCCGCCAGGGACTCCAAGGGGAAAAAACCACCTAGATTACAGCCTGGGGAGCTCTGGTGGCTTAGTGGTAAGGAATTGTATATTTAAAGCCATGTTGTTCAAATCTACCAGCATCTCCTCAGTAGAAAGGTGAGCATTCTCCTTATGTGTCATTTACAGCCTCTGACAACTTGCTGGACGGTCAGCCACGAGACAGTTCAACTCAACAGTCCATAACAGCCTAGGAAGCCCTATAGAGCCGTTCTGCCCTGTACATTATGGGTCACAATCTACAGCATATACCAACATAATAGGAAAAGATCTACAGCATATACCAACATAATAGGAAAAGAGTGGATAGATAATGAATACTGCATTAGAACAGATGAGGAGAACTGTCCAAAAGAAATACATGTATGACAACAATTTGGAACAAGGCGGGGCATTGCAGGGTGGGCTGGGGGAGGGGGATGGATTGAGGCAGAAGAAGATACGCAACAATGGGGGGGAAATCTTTACTGAAAATCAAACCTAGAATCCTGGTTTGATATTGCTGTCAGGAGAAAGCTTGCCACTTACCTCATAGACCAGGTGTCTTATACTGGATGCTCGGATTCTCTGCTATCACATATGTTAATATTTTCTCTCTTTATATATTTGTGTTCTTCTAAATGTGTAAAAGTAAAACAGAGCGAGCTCTCGAACTTTAAAAAATGCCTTTTCGTTTTCCTTTCTGTAGGACTATGTGCTTGCTGTGGACGCCTATCATTCCGTAATCAAATATTACCCAGAGCAGGAGCCTCAACTGCTGAGTGGGATTGGACGCATTTTCCTTCAGGTACACATTACACTAAACGAGAGAGTGAAAATGGATAGTCTGTCAAGAGGTTGGTTTTGACTCTTATTAATTCTCCATAAGAAATGTTGCTGTTATGTGCAGTCGAATCGACTATGACTCATAGTGACCCTGTGCACAGTAACTCTGAACCTTGCCCTATCCTGAGCCAATCTCACCGTCTCTGACACCTCCAATACCCCAGTTACTGTGTCAATCTAGGGTCTTCCTCTCCTTCTTGTCCCTCTACCCTTCCAAGCATGATGTCCTTCTCAAAGGATGGGTCTCTCCTGGCAACATGTGCAAATTATGTAAGAGAGAGCCTCAGAGTTCTTTGTTCCAAGAAGCAACCTGATTCCATGCTCTCCAGGACAAACCTGTTTATTTTGGCAATGTTCAGCATTCTTCTGCAGCACCACAGCTCAAAGGCATTGATTCCTGTTCTATCATCTTTAGTCATTGTCCAGCTCTCTGATGCATAGCAAAAAATTGTGAAGCACATGGCCTGAATCAGGCGCACCTTAATCTCTAGACTGACTTCATTCAACATTTCTCTAACCATGGACAAGTTTAGTTCCTTGCCATACATAGTCTTGAAGGAACACTGGTGGCCTCCTGGTAAGAGTCTGTGCTGCAGTCACAAAGGAATGTGGTTCAAATCCACCAGATGCTCGGAGAAGAAAAATGGGCAGTCTCCTGTGCAGTTAAAGTACCTCTTCAAATCTGCTGGAGTGTCAGCTGTGAGTTGGTTCTGAGTCGTCAACAACCACCATAGTCTCAGTGTGTTAGACTATTTGTTGGCCTTAACAATAGAATTGTAAAGCTAATTGCTAAATGTACATTTTGTGTAGATTTTCATCTGAGACTCACTGAAACTGATTACTTTATAAGCTTCTCTGTTTCATTGACAAAATTATTGACAAAACCATAATGAGTTTTATTTCATGTCAACTTATAATAAAGCAACTCACCAGTATTTTTATTAAAAGAGCGTTTAAGTCCATGTCCACTAGTTAAAGGAAAGTGCATGTTTGAGGAGCAAGCTCAATCATGAAAAAGCTAGGAACAGTACTCTCTTTGCCAGGAACATCAAGAAAATTGAAGCTGGAAGGTATTTTCCTGGAATTTGGGGTCCTTAGTTATAACGAGTCCCACTGTCCATCACAGTGTAGTCCTCCCACCCTAACCAGCTTTGGATAATTATCCACAAATTCTTCAAGCTCGTGTTCCCATCATTCTCTACCTCCTCCTCCTCCTTTAAGGGTCTCTGACATGCCATCCCAAAACTAAAAATGGAGAAAGGAAGAGTGAGAAAAACCCAGTCAAAAAGAAATTACTCAAGCACTGTACTGAACTTTTAACCTATAGGTATTATTAATCCTATTTTACACTGAGACTTTCAAATGATTAAGCTGTCCAAGGTCAACACAGGTAATGCCTACCAGAGGTCACATGGATATTGCTGGAAAGAAATTTGAATATTACTTGCCTGACCCTAAAAGGAGTGCTGGTGGCCTAGCCTGAAGGGAGTTGAGTTGCTAACCCAGGGCACTGCCTCTGTGGCTGTTCACATCCACCAGCTGTTCAGAGAGAGAAAGATGGGCAATCCCTTCCCACATAATTTACAGTTTAATAAACCCAGTGAAGGGTGAGCTGTGAGCTGGTGCTGTCTTGACAGCAGTGAGTGAGACCTAAGATCTTAGGATTCTCGTAAGTTATTGTTGTCAGTTGTTGATTCTTCCATTGCCATCCTCCACAGTAACACAGACACACACAGTCACACACGCACATACACACCATCACTCGGAAGCATGGGTAGCAGAAGCAGTAGGATCAAAGAAGAAAAGCTGGATTCCTATTCAAGGTATCATGGTAGCACACAGGTGCCATGCTCTAGGGGAAAAGACCTGGTGATCTGCTCCTATGAAGATTACAGCCCTGGAAACGCGATGGGGCAGTTCTGTCATCTAGAGTCATGATGAGTGTGAGTTGACTTAACAGCACAATACAACAGCATGGGCTCATCTTAGTCATGAGCTTATAGATACTATATCATAAAGGTTTAGGAACAGACAAACCTAAATTTAAATCTGGCTCTGAACTAAACCTGCTGTGTGATACCAGAAAAGTTATTTAACTCTCTGAGCTTCAGTTTTTTCATCCATCTATAAACCAGGAATAAGTACAACTATCTCATAGAAGTATTGTAAAGACTACATTAAATAATTCATATAAAAATATGGACCCTAAATAAATTTTAAAAAAATATGGACCCAGGCCTGAAAGACAGAAGCTACTCAATACATGTTACTAGTGTCATGATTGTTGTATTATTCTATGATTGTGATAATATTATATATACTCTAATTCTTCACTGCTCTGGAGGATCTAAACAAACTCCAGAGTTTTCTTTCTGAACATTAATTTGCACAATGCAAGAAATATGTTTCACATTCATGTAAGAATTCTGTTTGTGTGGGGGGTTTTTTAAGATATGGAAGAGTTTGCTCCTTTATTAGCAATCATTTATTTAACATCACCAGGGATACTGATGATCAGGCTTGATCATGGAGGCCCTGGAGCTTTGGTTCTTCAAGAGGAACGTCTAGGGACTAAATTCCTTAAGGTTGTTGTTCTGTGCCCTCGAGCTGACCAGACTTATAGCTGACTCTCTAGCGGGTTTTCAGAGGCAGTAAATTGCACAGGAGGATATTGCCTGTCATCCTGTAGAGCAGCTGGATTTGAACTGCATGCCTTTGGGATTGAAGTACAGCTTCTTAGCACTCAGCCACCAATATTTAGCATCTAAAGTTTTCTTTAATATCCTTATCTGGCTTCACGCGTTACCAGCAAGCCAGAACTGACTCACAATTGACTCTCCAACAGCTTTTCACAGGCAGTATATTTAAGAAGAGGAGATTATCCATCTTTCTCCTGTGGAACAGCTGGTGGGTTCGTACTATCTGCCTGGTTTTGCAGTGCAGCTCTTTGCCAGCTAAGTTTGTAAATGTAAAAAATAGGAGGGACAGCACAAGAGAGGAAGGCCTTGGACGAGATGGATTGACTCAGTAACTTGGGTAGTGGGGTAGATGTGTCAGAGACAATGAGGTTGGCTTAAGATAGAGCAGGGTTCAGAGCTGTTGTACAAACGGTCACCATGAGTTACAAGCAACTCAACAGCACATAACAGCAGCAACAAAGGGAATCTATAAATGTTCACTCTTGTTAGGTTTTAGTTTTGTGACATTGAGTTAGGTCTTTGTATGGCCATGAATTTTTACTTTGTGGAAGAAAGGCAAAAGGAAAACTGTTATCTTGCCTCCTAGAATGCCCTCAAAAGAATAACTATTGGAGTTTTATTTTATCAGTCATGAACTATTTTTTTCATGAAGTTTTCTTACGGCTGGTTTTACTCTTGGCAAAGTATTTTAATTTTGTGTTTACCTACAAGGAGGAGACTGAATTTCCAACCAAGTTCACAATTCTTAACCCTTTATGACATCTCTGGAACACTATATCATGAGTACTACATCAGAACTTCTCAATATAATCTTACTCATTTGACTACTATATTGCTATCTTTCAGCATCATAGAGAATTATACCTCCAATAAATTAATACTTCACTAGAATGGAACAACATGCTATCTGAAAATTTTGAATGTGAGGAAAAAAGATGCAGACCACCAAGCCAGTTTTGTCCTCAAAGGTGATGGAACCTCTTAAGAAAACAGAGATCCATGACAAAATGTGGTGATCATCAAACACAACCAATTTCTTAATGTAGCCTATTTTATCTTATGTCAGCAATCATTTCAGGGTATCTTGTTAGTCGTTCTTGTTGTTATGTGCCGTCGAGTCACTTGCAACTCATAGAGACCCTATGTACAAAAGCCCTAAACCCTGCTTTACCCTGTGTCAACCTCATTGTCTCTTACACACCTACTCCCACTACCCCAATCACTGGATCGATCCATCTCATCGAGGGGCTTCCTCTCATATGCCGTTCCTCCACTCTCCCAAACATGATGTCCCTCTCCAAGGACTGATTCCTCCTTGCAACATGCCCAAAGTATGTCAGACGAAGCTTGAGAATCCTTGACTCCAGGGAACAGCCCGGCTTCACCCTCTCCAGGACAAACATATTTGTTCTTCTGGCAGTCCGTGGTGTATTCAGCACTATTCGCCAGCACCACAGCTCAAAGGCATCACTTCTCTTTCTATCATCTCTAGTCACTGTCCAGCTCTCTGATGGATAACAAGCAATTGTGAAGACTATAGCCCGGATCAGGCCCACCTTAGTCTCCAGCCTGACGTTGTTGCTCTTCAGTACTCTTGACAGGCCCCTGACAGCTGACTTTCCCAATGCAATTTGTCTCTTATTTTCCTGGCTGCTGTTACAAGAGTGTTGACTGTGGAGCCAAGCAAACTAAAACTGTTAACTATCTCAGTCTCTTCCACCATCCATACTGATGCTGCCAATTGGTCCAGTGGTGAGAATCTTTGTTTTCTTGATATTGAACTTCAGTCTGTATTGACGGCTGCAGTCCTTGACCTCCTGCGGCAAGCGCTTCAGGTCCTTCTCAGTTTTAGCAAGCAGGGTTGTGTCATCTGCATAACATATATTGTTGATGATTCTTCCACCAATCCTGATGCCACATTCCTTGTCATACAACCCAGCATCCTGGATGATCTGTTCTTCATACAGATTGAAAAGGTATGGAGACAGAATACATCCCTGACAGACCCCCTTCCCAGTTTTTAACCATAGAGTGTTCACTTGCAAAAAAAAGTGTTTCTAATAGCTGGAGTGGTCTAGATAGATAAGGAGTTGTGCTGCCAATCAAAAGGCACATAGTTTGAATCCACCAGCTTCTCTGAGGGAAAAAGATGGGCAAGCTGAAAAATCTCCTGCTGGGTCTGGAAAATCTACTTCTGGGTCAGCTGTGAGTTGGTTGTAACTTAACGGCACATACTAACAACACTAGCTAAATAATGTCAAAA